GGAGAGAGAAAAAGCGTGACAGAATGAGAGAGATATTTGGAAAGGGAGGCGGGGCATTGGAAAATAGGGGAGACTAAGGAGAGAGAAAGAAAGGGAGAGACAAAGGGACAGGGGATATAGAGAATAGACAGAGAGATTAGTGACTCTCGGGTAATATCAGCTATGTGCAAATATTAATGCGTGATAACACTGCAGATTCTATGGCCTTCAGAACGGTTAGGCAAACTTTCGAACACGTCCATATTTAATAATAATGTCACGGTTGTGAGGTCACACACCTTGTTTGGGAATGATAGTATTATTATTGTGAGGGTCTTGGGGAGCATTTCATATTGTAGGCTTTGTGCGTTAAAAAGTTTGTTAACAAGGACAGTCAAAACTGTCCAAAATGTCCATCCATCGTAGAGGAAACAAAAATTGGTCCTTTTAGGCTGTGTCGTTATGATGTATAAAGAAACCAAAGACAACAACAACAACAACAACAACAACAACAAAATTGTTTGTTAGTATACCACTGCCGTCGGACCAACAGAACTTCCGGTTGGCAAATAATCATGGCGTCAAGTTTTTATTTATCATCTGCAGTGATCCTCATTGTTTCTACCTAATCTGAGGCAGATGCTCGATCTACGATTCACGATTGTTTCTACGATATTCCCCTGATCTTCATGGTCACCAATCATCGGTTTGGATGGTGAACACTTTTCCGAAATGGTCACCCACCCTGTGGTTTGTAACACAGACAGTGTAGACCTATTCACTGAAAAGGAAAATAGAACAACGTACTCCCCAGACACCCTGTTGTTATTTCGACCAATGAACCATGTCTATATACCTCCGAATGTTATGAGGAGACTAAGAGAAAACAATTTAAATAGGATCCCAAAAACTAAACGGTCAAAGAGAGGAGGGAAAAGAACATTAGAATTAAAATATCTCAGAGAAAAAAACCCAGGCCAAACAAAAGGACGCCAAACCCAAGCCTCCAAGGGAGGCGGTGGACCTGGCGAAGAGCACGCTCTTCGGGGCTCCAAACATTTCGAACGGATAGGCTACCATACACACACACACA